CTAGCAGTCTGTCTTCTTTTATTTATAGCAGCTCTCTTTTACCCAAATTAACTTCTTAATTTAGTTGTTATCTGAATGCTTCTTGTCCCTCTAACTACACCGAGATTTCCAATCAAGAATGAATATTGTCTGCTTGTTTACCACTGCAATGCCAACATCTAAAACCCAGCTCTGGGTATGGTAGTACATACCTGAAATTCCAGCTACTTAATTTGGCAAGACCCTATCTCAACCAGTAGCCGGACATGGTTATACAGAACTGTGTTCCCAGCTACTGGGAGATGTAGGTAGGAGGATCATGATCTGAGACTGACCCTAGGCAAAAATGCAAGACCCTAACAGAACAATGACTAAAGCAAAACAGGCTGAGGGTATAACTCAAGTGAGAGCACCTGCCTAACAAGTTCAAGGTCCTGAGTTCAAACCTTAGTTCCATTAAAAAATAAAATATCAAGGGGGGGAGGAAGGAGTTGGGGAGGTAGGGAGGGAAGGGTTAGTAGGGGAAAAACAAAGGAGGGAGTAACAATGCTCGATAGGAAATGTACTCATTACCTTACGCAGGTAACTGTAACCCCTCTGTACAGCATCTTTACAATAAAATTAAAAAATTAAAAAAATAGGTTCAGGTGGTTCATGCCTATAATCCTAGCTACTCAGGAGGCTGAGATCTGAGGATTGTGGTTCAAAGCCAGCCCGGGCAGGAAAGGTCGTGAAACTCTTCAATAAATCACCAGAAAACCAGAAGTGGCACTATGGCTCAAATGGTAGAGCACTAGCCTTGAGCTGAAGTGCTGAGGGACAGTATTCAGGCTGAGTTCAAGCCCCATGACTGACAAAATAAATTAATTAATTAAATTAAATCACTAAAAATAAAAATACAAAATATATTAAAAATATAAAATATATAAATTATATATAATAATAAAATAAAATTGTCCTCAACACATAAGAGATACTCAATGCAACTTAAATAATAAAATTATTGTGCTAATTTTTTTCTTTATATGTTAAAATTTTTATATCTTTATACAAATTTTAACAATTGGGCTCAGGTTCATATAAATAGATTAATCAAAATCTCTGATCAGTGATGCACTTGTCTGATTAGTTGATATCTTTAAAAAATTATTTAAATAAGTTTTTTAAAAAATTGTGTATTGCAGCTAGGCACCGGTTGCTCATGCCTGTAATCCTAGCTACTCAGGAGGCTGAGATCTGAGGATCACAGTTCAAAGCCAGCCTGGGCAGGAAACTCCATGAGACTGATCCATAAACCACTAGAAACCTGGAAGTGGTGCTGTGGCTCAAGCGGCAGGGTACTTGTGCTGAAGACCACAGGGAAATCGCCGAGCCCAGAGTTCAAGCCCCATGACTGACCAAAAAAAAAAAAAATCGTATATTGCCAGGTACTTATGGCTCAACACTTGTAATCCTAGTCATTTGGGCTGAGATCTGAGGATTGAAGTTCAATGCCAGCCTCAGGAGGAAAGTCATGAGACTCTTATCACCAACTAATCATTAAAAAGCCAGAGTAGAGCTGTGGCTCAAATGGTATATATATATATATATATATATATATATATATATATATATATATAATTGGGCTGGAAATGTTGCTCAATGGGGAATACTTGCTTGGCATGCACAAGTCCCTGGGTTTATACCCAACACTACAAAAATCAATCAAATTAATTAATTGATACTCATAAACACTGAGAAAGCAGAACCTAGAACACAATCTAGGGTCCTTGTGCCCCTAGGCCCAGTCTGTTCTCCACTTAACCCTCCTGCCTCTCCCCATATATAATCATCTTTTGAAATTGCACTGATCTCAGGAGAACGGGAGTGGGGGGGGGGAGTTAAACAAGGTTGACTTGCCTGAGTCTGCTGGAGCTGCCTAGAGCATGGAAGTGCTGGCTCCCCACCTCGAGGCAAAGAATATGCTGGTATATCCCTCAGCTAAACAGATGACTGACTCTGGGAGGTAGGTGAGGAAAGACAGGCACCTATCCCTCCCGAATGAGGCAGCCCCTATTTGGCCAAGAGCAATTCTATGGGGGAGGGGCCTGAACTGTTGGCCACCAATATAGCTGCTGGGATGGTAGGGGGTTCGGTACATTTAACCAGGAAGAGGATCTCTGAGCATGTCTGTTAAGCCTTGCTTCCCTTTTATATAAGTTTAATCAAATTTTGTATGTCTTCCTTAAAATCACATGTGAATATCCCTGTGCATATGGATGTGTGTGTGTGTGTGTGTGTGTGTATGGATGTGTGTGTGTGATTTCTATCATTTATACCTTTCTAGACATTGTTATATCTTTCATACTTAAATTTTGGAGGCAGTCTACGATTTAAACTCAGCACCCTGCGCTTGTTAAGCAAGTGCTCTACCACTTGAGCCATCCGTGCCTCCGGTCCTTAAATTTTGTTTTGATTGATGTACAGCATGTTCATATTTCATCATGTGAATATAACACACATTATTCATCTATTCTCTTGCTGATGGTCTTTGTAATTGTTTCTAGGTGTTTGATGTTGATAAATAGTCCTTGAATATATCTCCTATAAGATAATTGCAATAATTTCTTGGGTTTATTTCTAGGTTAGGAATAGCTGGATCATTGTATAAACTTCAGAAAATAGTGAGAAATTATTTTCTAAGGTGATTTCATTAAATCACCTGCTCATCAAGAATGTACAAGACACACTACCATCCACTTCCTCTCCAACTTTTTGAATTTTAAAAATTGAATGAGTATAAAATGGCATCTCAGCCAAGTGACAGTGGCTGACTTTTGTAATCCTAGCTACTCAGGAGGCTGAGATCTGAGGATGTAGGTTCAAAGTCAATCCAAGTAGATAACTCTGAGACTCTTAGTTCCAATTATCCAGCAAAAGGTCAGAAAAGGAAGTGTGGCTCAAGTGGGAGAACTCCAGCCTTAAGCAAAAAAGTCAAGCAAGCGCATGAGGCCATGAATTCAAGCCCCAGTACCGGCATAAAAGTAAATAAAATACATCTCATTGAAGTCTTGTATATGTCACAGTATTACTAGTCATCTCTTCATAAGCTTGTCAGATGTTTTACATTAATAATTTGTTTGTGTATTTTCTCTATGATTCTATTGTGTTTTATTTATACTTTTCTCATTGATCTGTAGCTGTTCATATATCCTTTGTCTCATGTATAGATGGCAAATTTTGTTGATATCTTCTGGTACCTTATAACTTGTTTTCTTACTTGCTGCCTGATGACTCTGAATGAACTAAGTTCTATTTAATGACAGTATCATGAGTATCATTCCTTTTCTTTTTGTGTGTGTGGTTCCTATTTAAGGAACCTTACCCTCAAAAAAACCCTCAGAAACAACCATCTCAATCTGAGGACAGAGATCATATATGGAGCCAGAACATAGGCAGTTCACAGAGACAAGCATCATTGTGACTACCAAGGCACTGTCCCCCGAGGCCCTGTCTAGCCAGCATGAGTGACCAGCTGGCTGGCTGGTAGGTGTGTTCTGGTTACAGAACTAGATATATCATGCTATTAAAGCTGGGTGCTATTAAAAATTCTAATCAGAGACTGTAATTAACTTTCCTTGCTCTGATGCTCACTCACTAAGCAGCCTTCTGATTATAATTTGGCTTCTCATGTATCTTGCCTATTGGGAGAGAATGTACTGAGAATGTAGTGTTCAGGCCGACGTGAGGATCCAATCCATTAAACAGTTACATGCCATGGTGTAAATTAATAAATTTGTATTCTGATTTTATCATTTGCCTCATCTGGGCTCTGAAGGCGTGAGTCAGCATCCCCGGGTCTAATCAACACAGACCCCAAGAATAGCAAGCTTCTGGGTTGAGAAATGAAGAGCAAGACCCAGACCAAAGTGAAATCACCAAGATAACATTACCCCAGAGGCCCCTCAGCATGATCAAGAAGGCTTTCCTATGTGTCACGCAATATAGGCAGGGATTAGAATTGACTTTTGACATCACAAAGAGCTGCATATTCAAAACCATGGCTTGGCTCTATTCAGGTGAAAGCAAAGAACAGAAGAGGATCGTAAGGCTTATATTAAATATTTATTGGCTTATGAGGACACACCAGATGCTATGCAGATCCGAGGCAGAAGGTTAAGATTGACAGACACATTTGAGAAAAGCAAAAAAATAAAAAATAAAAACAAAAACAAAACAAAAAAGGGAAACAGATGGTACATAGTAAGAAGAGATGGACAAGAGGCTTGTGACTAATGAATTCTTGTTCCACAGAGGTACCCAGGGTCTAGAATGAAAAATAGAAGGTAAGTTTTAAGGGGAAAAAAAGCTCAGGGGAAGAGAAGCAAGCACAAGATACACCAGAACACCAGCAGGACCGTGCTGAGACCCTGAGAATACCAGAGCAGAGGGGAGGCCCAGCCTGGTGATCCAGGACCTGTGGGCTGAGGGCAAAACCTTTGAAGTGAGTTCAGAAAGTGAAGTGGAGATGAGCCTAATTAGAGCAAATAGGGCTATGTGAGGAATCCTGCAGTCCAGGTCACCACTGCTTCTGAAATCCTGTGGGTGAGCATCATCTACAGGGCCACTAATCCCTTTTCAGGATCCCAAGAATACTGAATAATAAAGGGAAGTGCTAAGAAATGTGGTGTCTAGAAACTCTCACTAAAGATGGGAAGAAAGCCTCTATGCAATATTCAGACCAATGATGGGGAGGCCAATACTGATGACCCTACAGGAGTTGTTGCTTAAAGAAACATGTTTCTCAGGTACATTGGCCAGCTACAAGGAGGCTAGACGAAGAGAATCTCTTGAACCTAGGTCAGCCTGGACAATCTCATAAGGCCCTATCTCAACAAGAAGAGCAGAGAAAAGGATGGAGAGAGGAAGACAGCAAAGGGAAAAATATGTTCTTGAAGGAGATAAAGAAAGCTTCTTTGAGATCCAACCGAAGCACAGAATGTCCCATGGGTCCCCACCAGGTCCTTGGCTTGGCTAGACATATTCTAAAGGTGAGGTAGAAACATGCTGCCAGGGAAGGATGACCCTGAGTATGGCCTGTCCAACCAGCCACATGAAAGGAAAGGTTCAGCTGAACAACGGGACCAAATTGAGAATGTTGGTGGACATGTTCTTCATGGGCACCCCACCAGGAGTGGGGCTGGAAGGGGACTGACCTGGGCGCTTTACAACGCAGAGGGCTCTGACTCCCCTGTGAAGAAAAGAACTCATTTACTTGATCACTTTAATCTCAAACTACAATCCTTTTTGGCCTTCTAGAATCAAAATATGTTAAGATACTTGAGTTCGATCAAGCTCATGACCTTCACTTTGTGTGGAGGCCCTGGTCTAGTAGAGGTTGTCCCGCACATGCTCCATGATGGTCTTCAGCCCCAGCCAGGTCTCCTCTGCAGTGGGGATGATCTGATTGGCTGGCAGAAGGAAACCATAGTGCCCAGTGTCCCTTAACTCAAATGTGAATGAGTACTTGATCCCGTTGTCATAGGCCCAGTCAATGCTGCTCCCACTAGCTGGATCTGTAAGTCAAAAGAGTAACATGATTGAAGTCCAATTGCCTTTAAAACTCAGAAAGAGCCATAGCTCTACCTGCCTGGGGTTCCTTGGGAGCCTAGAGTTATTTCTGCAAGCCATCGCCTCCCTATAATATACATGCCCAAAGGACACATTGGCTCCATCCATAGGTCTTAGGACAATACAACATGAAAGTCTGTACTCAGCTCAAACTAAGAGACTTGAAAGTCTCCATTCTGTCACTAACTCATTGTAATCCCTCAGGCTACTCAAAACTAATCTTCTCATAGACAAAGTGTATGGTAGGCACTTCCAACATAAACCCAAGGACCCTCGTAGCCCTTGCCAACATGGAAAAGGCTGGCCCAACCTTGTAACTAACAAGCCCAAATAGAGTTGTCATGAAAGAACTTGGGATTCTGCCTTGCTCTCTCTTGGGTCACTCACTCTGAAGAAAGCCAGCTGCAGTGTTGTAAGGACACTCAAATAGCCCAATCAGGAGATGGATGTGAAGAACTTTGACTTCCTGCCAATAATAAGCACTAACTCACCAGACACCCCCGGCCCCGCCACACCCAAGTAAGCCAGACTACAAACGCTTCCTTGAGCCCTGTAAGCCTGGGGTTCACTACAGTCCTGGAAAACATCTGACCCCAACCCCACAGGAAATCTTGGGCCATAGCCACCCAGTTAAGTGTCTCTTGACTTCCTAAACCCTGTAAAGCATATAAGGAAATAAATATTTATTGTGTTAAGCTGCTAAGTTTCAAAACTTCTTTACATAGCAAGAGATAACTGGTTTACAGAGCAAAAGAAACACATTCCTTAAGAATCCCTTTGCCAAAAGGCTTGAGAAGGGCATGGAGCCTATTTTCCTGCTTCTTCCCACTCAAATTCCACTTCTCAGACAAATTTGGTTAAAAGAGAGCAACACTGTTGATCTTGTAGGATAAAATAGGGTCAATAGTTGGGGTGCGGGTGACTTGTGCCTGTAATACTAGCTACTCAGGAGGCTGAGATCTGAGGATCACAGTTCAAAGCCAGCCCAGGCAGGAAAGTCTGAGACTTTTAATTGGAGAATTAAACACCAGAAAACTGAAAATGGTGCTGTTGCTGAAGAGGTAGAGAACTCACCTTGAACTGAAGAGCTCAGGGACAGCACCCAGTCCCAGAGTTCAAGCCCCACAACCAATAAAAAAGAAAAAAAAATAGTGTCAATAGTTGCTATTATTTATTCAGCATCTAAGTAATGCTGGTTATTATATTTTAAAAGTTTAAATTTATGCTCTCATTGTCTTTTCAAACCTTAAGGAAGGTATTACTGTCCTTGTTTTACAGATGAGAAAAAAAAAAAAACGGTACAAAATGGATTGCTTATCTGGGAACTTCCAGGTGGAAATGACAATGCTAGAATTAAATCTAGGTGGACCTGAGGAGAAAGCCTTGGATTTCTTCAGTCTACTTCATTTCCATCTATATTAACATGTCTGTTCAAAAGGCAAGTCTTTTCACCTTTCCCTTATTCCTGAGAGAAGCAGGAAAAAATCTTGCTTCCACCAAGATTTTTCCCTGAGGCTCTGCTGTTGTCTGAAATCCTTCTGCCATTTCCATAGCCTCTCTTTACCCAGTCCAAACAGACAATGCTACTTTAACTTTCTAGAGGTTCTTTATATGTCAGAATCAAGTATCTCAACTTTTTTTTAATTCAGGAAGGCAAAAAAAAATAAGGATTATAGTTTGGGATTAAAGTGATCCAGTTCATGAATTTCACTTTAAGTCCCTGCTCAATGTCCACTTATTCTTTTTTTTAAGTATTTTTTATTGTAAAGATAGGGTTCAGAGGGGTTACTGCTATATGAGTAGGGCAATGAGTACATTTCCTATTGAGCATTGTTATCTCCTCCTTTGTTTCCCCTACCATCCCTTCCCTCCCCACCTCCCCACCTCTTCTCTCTCCCCACCCCGAAGTTGTAAAGTTTGTTTTCAACATAGTGTCTTGTATGTCTCATTGTTATAATGGGTCAACATGTATCCTTGTTTCAGCATTTTGTTATTTCCCTTCCCCCCCCAAATTAGAAAATTTTATATACAAAATACAGGACACTGGAATCAAATATAGTGACAACAGGAGTTATACCATGGGGAAATAACATACAAAGGAAACAAAAAATTCACATAGTACATTAAAAACAACAGCGACCAAGAAAAAACATCTTGTGTCCTTATCTTGGGGTTCATTTCACTTAGCATCATCTTATATGGTCATATGTACATAGCTTTTGACCTTTTCTGCTTGTCTGGTAAGATTATCCTAGACATGTACTAGTTATTGCAAAAAAGGGAAACCATGAAACCTATGTTTCTTTGGGTCTGGCTTACTTCACTTATTATAATTTTTTCCAAGTTTTTCCATTTCCTAACAAATAAGGTGGTGTCATTCTTTCTGATGGAGGCATAGAATTCCATTATATATGCATATATAGATTACATTTTCCTGATCCATTTATCTATGTCCACTTATTCTTTATTTAAAAAAGAAAAAAGCAAGTAGCTCTGTGGCTCAAAGTGGCAGAATGCTAGCGTTTAGCAAAAGCCCAGGCCCTGAGTTCAAGCCCCACAACTGACAAAAATCAAACAAATATGAGAACATATTTTTGTTTGTTTCAAACAAACAAAGCCTAGGTTCAAACCAACCCTTTCATACTTGCTAGATAGGCACCCCACCACTTCAGCCACACTTTCCAGCTTTATTTATTTTTTGAAAAAGATCTTGTGGGGGCTGGGAAGGTGGCTCAGTGGTAGAGTGCTTGCCTTGCATGCATTTGGGTTCGATTTCTCAGCACCACAAGCAGAAAAAGCCAGAAGTGGAGCTGTGGCTCAAGTGGTAGGGTGCTAGCCTTGAGCTGAAGAGCGGAGGGACAGTGCCCAGGCCCAGAGTTCAGTCCCAACACCGAGCAAAAAAAAAAAGAAAAAGATCTTGTGGTTTTTGTCAACACCAACCTAGACAATAATCCTCCTATATCTGCTTCCTAAGTACTTGGGATGACAGGCAAGAACCACTACATTTAGCTTTTTATTGAGATGAGGTTTCATCTCCATTTTTTGTTGGTCTAGGCTGGCCTTGAACCTTGATCCTCCAAATCTCCACTTCCCACGTAGCTGGGATTATAGGCATGAACCACCATGCCTACACAGGAGTATACTATTGACACTGTTCTACACACTGTATTTCTCAATGAGCAACCGAATGTTCCTCCCTATTGGCACATTTTAATTCACCTCATTCATCCAGGTGCAGCCTAGTGCTTTATTGTCTAAATGCATAAAAAGTGTTTTTATGCAGGACACTCCAGATTGGCATTTGAAATACTCCCAGTCTTTCCTGATGATAAATAATATTGTCCCAAACATCTTTAATACTCATGACATATCCATGAGTCAGATGAGCATACTTTATTTACATCTAAGCCCTTCATGGATCAGAATGAATGAAGAGGAAGGGAACCAGTTGCTAAAGGCAGTTGGTCTAAGAACAATTCAAGCAACCACTTATAGTCTGACAGAAGGAAGAAGACATAAAAACTCTAAAAAGCTGGTACAAGAAGAAAAGGGGCAAAATAAGCTGAGGCTATTTAGCAGAAGGACCTTACAGTCCAACCTGGCACAGCATGACTTCAGGACATAGCAACTACTCTTCAGAAAACCACTCAGTCATGAAGAAGCGGACTGAAACCTCTTCTGTAGGCTGTGTTTAAGAAGTCCATTTTAGAATTACTTTCACTTAAACAGTTAATCTAAGAAGAAAAGATAAATATCAAGTGTGTCCATAGTACATGCCAGAAGTCTTTGAAATTAGATAGTATGATTATACAAAAAAAAAATCCCTCTTTGTGTTTTTGGGAAAACCTATCAAGAATACTGAAGACAGGCTTTGAATGTGAGAAGAAACTCAGAGCTCCTCGACCCTCCAGGGTCTCTTCTGTGGGAGGCATCTGGTGAGTGTCTCTTGATTTAGCACAGCTCAGGCTGGAGAGAAGAATTTGTTTGATGTGCAAGTACAAGGTCATGCTTTGACCCCCAAACAGGGACCTTGGTGACCCCCACAGATCTTTGGAGAGGCCTCCTCTCCAGGATCCTAGCAAGTCCCCATGGGTCCAGGATTGACTAATCAAGCAGAGAAGGTGGAGAACGTCTCAGGATGTGTCCTCTGAAGAGCTCCCATTCCACAGCATAAATAACAATAAACCATGAATAATTTAATAGATTGTTGCTGCAATTAGCAACACAAATGCCAGCATCCTGCTAACTGCTTTATGCAGCTCTCTGGCCTGTGAAGCAGAGGAAGGTGCTGAGATGGAGCACCTTCTGAGATGGAACTCAGCACTGAGATGGAGAAGGGGGAGTGGAGAATGTAGCATCTTCCAGAAGACAAGGGCTGAGGGGAAATCTAGTGGGACAGTGGGGGCGGGGTGATGGTGCTGAATTCCAGGACTGAGGAAAGAAACACCAGCAAGCTTGCAGTCTCTGGAGGGATCAACGCAAAGAGAAGACACTGGAAAGGGGGCTAGACTTGTGCTTTACATTTACATTGGCATCTGAGAATGTAATTTTTTTTCCAAACAGGAGCATTAGTAGATTGACTCCCAAAATAAGGGATATGAATTGCTCTGATGAAATAGTTCATCTAGGAATCAAAACAAAGGTATCTCCTCAAAATATGGCTACAAGGGATTAAGCTTCAAAACTAGGTTCAGGAAACCAGGTGTGATCCACACCTATAATCCCAGCACTCAGGAGGCTGAGGCTAGAGGAGTAAATGTTTGTATTTGATTTTGGTACCTTGTTATTGTATATCCATTTATCTGAATTAGGAAAGGGAAGGGGAAATGATCTGTACAACTTGCGGAGGTGGGGGGGATTTAGAGGGACAGGGAAAGTAGGAGAAAAATGAGGGAGGTGGTAACAAGTTTGACAAGAAATGTACTTATTATCTTACTTATGTAACTGTAACCCTTCTGTACATCACCTTGACAATAAAAAAAGAAAAAGAAAAAAAAATGTTTGTGGCCAGCCTAAGCTACATGGCATAATCCTGTTTGGGGAAAACAAACAAACAAAAAAACAGTTTGGGAGCACGGTGGATTTTTTTCTAGATGCCTGAAAAGAAGGACCCTCTAATCCTCCTTGTTCATTTCTGATAGGAAAATAGACCCTCCCCCACCCCCTCCACCACCACTACAAGCAATCTGCCATGGCAAAGATGGGTTCCCTTTGAAAATAGAAGGACGGGCTTGCTAAACCTTTTGATACACTATGTCAAGATGCTTAATGCAAGATGAAGAATGCAGCTTCTACCCAGCTGACAGGACATAACTCATAAGGGCACGTGACAAATAGCTCAAGCGTACAGAGGACGCTGGTGAAGACAACTGTCTGCTGCAGCTAGTGTCACGCAGGCTGGACATAAATCTAGTCTATTACTAACCACAAAAACAATCAGACAACATCCTAAGGAGTGTAACTTTCCCCTCCACCTCCTTTCCTCCTGGAGCACTGTCTAAAGGGCGCGCGCACACACACACACACACACACACACACAGAGCAAGTACTCACAGACGGTGGTACAAGTTGGGCCCACTTGGTACTTGGTGCCTGACAGGGAAGCCAGGGCTTCAGCTGCTTGCCTGGCCACATCATCCTGGGAAGAAAGGAGCAGAGTAAGAAAGGACAGACCCTGAGTCCTGACCCTGGGAGAGAAGTGTCATGTCCCAGAGCATGAGGGAAGGCCAAGTTATGTTCAAGTGGAAACTCTGGAATGGAGAAAGCCAGAAACTAGTCCCCACCTAGCCATGAGCCTGGGTGGGGCTTCCTCTGGCTGAGGGTTGTGGGCTGGCTGTGGCCTACGCTCATGTCACACTGATGATCTCAGCCCTCAACTCCTCATTCTGAGGTGACTCACTGGATAGGATGCTGAACTCCTCTGGGCAATGGCCTACACCTCTTCCTTGATCAGAGCAAGGGCACCTCCCCCATGTATGCTATGGTGCCAAGCACACAGCTCTTAGCAAACCATAGACACATGATACGTTCCTGTCAGGAAAATAAGTGAGACAGCCAGGCAGGGTCAGTTACATTTTTTTTTGTTTTTGTTGTTTTGGGCTTTTTTACTATTCCTGGGGCTTGAACCCAGGGCCTGGGCACTGTCCCTGAGCTTTTGTGCTCAAGGCTAGCACTCTACCTCTTGAGCTATAGTTCCACTTCTAGCTTTTTGATGGTTAATTAGAGATATGAGTCTTACAGACTTCCCTGTCTTGGCTGGCTTTTGAACCACGATCCTCAGATCTCAGTAGCTAGGTGTGAGCCCCGGGCCCCTGACTATCAGTTATAGTTCTTGAAACTCATAGGAGACACAGAAATAAGAGGGACTGTCTTCCTCCTGTCCCCAGTAGGTCTGATAGCTCATCCCAAAGGTCTAGGCCCTTAATGACACCTACTCAGACTCCTAGACTTGCTCTTAGGCTGTAGTTGGCCTCAAGGTCTGGACCTCAAGGTCCAGAAGCCTCAGGGCCAGGTAGAGGCTGCCATCACTCACCAGCTCCTCAGCATCGGGGGCCTTCTTCATAGAGTACCCATAGGGATACATCAGCAGCTGAGAGTAGCTGTGCAGGTCGATGAAGCATTTGAAATTCCCATGCTTCTGAATGAAATCTACCACTGATTTCACCTCCACTTCAGAATTGGCATGGGGGCCGTGGTATACTTCAGAACAAGGGTTGTCACTGGCTCCTGTTCCTGCCGGGGAAAGCCAACCAGAAACAGTGACCCACAGGCCAAGAAGACAGAAGTGAGGATACTCAGTCCCTAACAGAGCTGGAGCGAGAATAGACAGCCACTGGCAGATGTTCCATAAGAACCTATCGAGGTATGGAGCCTGGGAGAGGGAGGGCAGGGAGGGAGGCCAGGGGCGTTGGAGCTACCACAGCTGAAGAGGAAAATTGTTAGGACTTCTTCAAATGGATAGAGTTGACCTTGTATTGTGCCAATAGCTGTTGTCATACATAATTAATATCATACTTGAGAATGAGTTGTAATTAATAAGTATGCTAGATAATTAATATGAATACCAATAAATAATGAAAATGACTCCATTTATTCTGGTGTCAACTTATTCTCTTGGTTCAGATCTTAATGGCCAACCACTGCCAAAAATAATATATTGTTGTGGCTACAATTTCTTGATTCTTTGACAAGCGTTTAGAAATATTGCTTTCAGTATTAGTTCACCATACAGCTCCCTGGAGGGTATGTGGTATGTATGTATATGTGTGTGTGCGCAACAACCCTAGTTATGAGAAAATCTGGCTTGACATTGACACCCACAGGTCCCACATTCATAACAGCTCCTTTCCTATGGTTATTATTCCCCACCTCCGATGATTTTTGTGGTATTTCTATGCAAAAGGAGATGGGTACTCATAAGAGGGGGGTGGGGCCCAGGGGAGAGGGGGAGAGGAATGAAGAGGGGGGAAAGAGGAAGAATGCAGTAAGAATTCACTATAAAATGAACTATACAACTTGTGAGTGGGGACAGGAGGAAAAAACTAAGAGAGAGCAAGGGAAGGAGTGACATTGTGCAAAAAGAAATGTACTCTTTACCTGACTTACGTAACTCTAACCCCTCTGTATATCACTTTTATAATAACAATAAAAAATTAAAGAGAATTCATTGCATAAACCACAAAATCAAGAAAACTAAGGGAAAGGATGGGTTGCAGGGCAGTGAACATATTGAAGGAGTGACGCAGATCAAGATGCATTGTGTGCATAAACTACTTTGTTAAATGGCAGAAAAAAATCAATACATATCCTAAAAAATTAAGAGCAAGGGAATATAGAAATGAAGAAATAGAAACAAGAGGGGTTTTAGTGTACTGTTTTCAGCTAGTTTCTTTCTTTCCTTTGTTGTCACTGTTTTTTTTTATTTCTGTACTCTTTTTCTTATAAGTTTCTCTGATTTGGGGAAGGGAAGGAGAATCACAGAAGTGGTGGGACAAAAGTTGAACTAATGCAACTGTGATACTCACAGCACAATATATCGGAAATGACCTTTACAGCTTGGGGAGAGAGAAGTTGGAGGGGAAGTGGGAGAAAATGAGGAGAGGGAGCAACACTGTTCAAAAAGAAAAGTAACTGTAACCCCTCTGTATATCACCTTTACAATAAAATTTAAAAAAAAAAGAGGGAGAGAAGGGATGGATTGAGAAGGATGGGTAAGAATATTGAAAAGGGTGACATTAATCAAGACACATTGTATTCATAAACTGTTCTGTTGACTGGCAACTCCTTTGTGTAACTATGTAAAGATAATAAAAATATTCCCTAAAAAAACTCTCTAGGTATAATGGCTCCTACCTGTAATCCTAGATGCTCAGAAGTCTAAAGTTAACCTGGACAAAAAGTCTGTGAGACCTCATCTCAAACAATAAAAAGCTGGGTACAGTAGCAGTAGCAATTGGCTGACTCCTAGTATAGCAAGAATTGTAAATAGGAGGATAGCAGTCCAGGCCAGCCATGTTAAAAAGTGAGACCTCTTCACAAAATAACAAAAGCAAAAATCCCTGGGGGCATGGATTAAGTAATAGAGTGTCTAGATCCTGAGTTCAAACCTTAGTACTACAAAAAAAAATTAGATACATATATAGATAGATAGGTAGGTAGACAGATAAATAAGTGTATGCATATGTAAACCAAAAAGAAAAGAAAAATTATCATGATTATACTCATAATGCAAATACTCTCTGTCCCACCATTCTCTCAGGAGGCCAGGCAATACTGAATCATTCTTTCAAAATACAATAATCAAAAATAAAAACAATGTATAAACATAAAGAGCCTAAGACCTGCACATACATCTCTTGTGAATGGAGCAATGAAACTCTTTGGATGCTGGCTCTGTTCAGCTCTGTTCAGTTCAGGGGGACAGGTTTGTTCAATGTCATTTCCTGCCTACCTGCAAAGCTAGCATTCCAGTTTCGGTTTGGGTCAGTACCGATGCAGCGGCTTCCAGGGTTCAGAGACCGTGTCTTCCTCCAAAAGCGATTCTGAAAAAGCCACCAAACACCCAGAGTAGGTCATGCAATAAGAGCAGTGAATGGTTTCTCTAGGAAATAAGAGATGACTGCAAGAGATGGCTGAGCTGCTTGTGACCCTGGACTCCTTTCCTCCCTACCTATGCAGCCTGTTCTCAACCCCCAGACCAAGGAAGGTTTGCCCTTCTGACTTTAAGAAGGAGACTGCCATCCAGTTGAGTGTGTTGGCTCAAGCCTGTCAACCTAGCTATTTGGTAAATGGAAAGGGGGGGGAGTGTGAAAGTTCAAGGCCAGCCCAGGCATAAAGCTTATGAGACTCCATCTCAACCAAAGGCTGGGCATGGTGACATATGCTTGTTATCCCAGCTACAGTGCAATGGTGTGTTCCTGTCATCTTCAGCAACACAGGGAAGTGTTAAGTAGGCGGATCACAGTCCAGCCCTGGCCCAGGTCAGAAGCTAACTTGAAAAGAACCAATGCAAAAGGTCTGGAGGCATGGCTAAAATGGTAGAGCACCTGCCTAGGAAGTGCAAGGCCCTGAGTTCAATCCCCAAAATTGCTAAGAAAGAAAAAGAAGAGAAAGACAGAGACAGAATGGGACTCCCCCAAAATGCACTGATGAAAAACTTTGTATGCAAGTTGGGACCAGGCTAGTCCCAAGTGAGTCTTCTGCGGCCTGTACAGAAGTGAGATTGATGGTCCTTTACCTTTGTGATACCCAGTGCCCCAGAAGTGCACAGCACCTATTCTATTCTTGCCTAAATAACTCCATCTGAATTTCAGTCAAAAGCTCAACTAGGGAATAAGGAAACAAATTAAGTGGCAAAACAAAGAAGCTATCAGCCAAATTCAAAATGTGAGACATTCTACAGGAAATTATTTGGTTTCTCCTGCAAATGAATGACATTTTAAAAGGATGTGTGGGGGTGCTTCTGCTGCTGAATAAGAGAGGCAGCTGAGACACAGCCACCAGATGCAGTGTGCAGACCTTACTGACTTCAACACATTGACTCCTAAGAGACATTTTTAAGATAATTGGGGGAGTTAGATGATATTAAAGAATTTCCATTAATTTTTCAAATGTGTCAGTAGGGTATAGGGCTTAGGAAATTTTTTTATTCTTCTTATAATAATAGTTAGCTAGAGATGCATACATAGGTAGTTGTGGGGGGAATGAACGTGTCTAGGATTTGTTTTAAAATACTTCAAGGAGAAAATTGTGTAGGAGAGAAAAAAGATGAATAAACAATTGGTAAAATGTTGATAATTGTTCAAGACCCATAATAGCGAGTTCCTTTAGACTATTCTCTCTAGGGAAAAACTAAATAAATAAAGTAGTCTCTGGTGATTCTCAGTGTTGAGACTGAGCAAATGAAATCCTCACAAAGCTCATAATATCGTGTGGGTAGAGGCTCTCTCCAAAGCACTAGCCAAGCAGGGATGTCGCCAAGCCAGTTTCAGTCCTACCCCAGCCCCGTGGGATTACTCACTTGGGTGTGTGTATACACATATCCATCAGGATTGGCCACAGGCAGCAAGAAAATATCTACTTTCTCCAAGATGGAGGTGATAACTGGATCCTTCTGGTAATCAGATACAATCTAAGCAGAAACAACATGCTTTCAGTCAAGCTACGGCAGGCTTGTTGCTAGGTCTAACCTTATGTCTTCCCAGGACACCCAGTACCTAGAATGGATGCTCCCAGAACAGCCTCCACCGTTGAAAACTTCCTAGGATTTGACACTCATCCCTCCCCCGCCCCCCCCCACACACACAGGGGCATGGTTCTCTGCAAAGCTCTCTGAACCCCTCAAAATCCAGGGACAGGGCTTATGATTGTGCCAACAGCAATGAGATGATGGATGTTTGCTTTCTTCATGTTTTCCAGGGAAGAGATTCTATGTACACTGCTCTTCCCTCTCATTGCTGGCTTGAAACAGACTTTCTGGAAGATGCTAGCAAGGTCGCAGAGGTCTTATGGGGTTTGGGGGATTGAGCAAAGCTACTCTATCTTTGGTGCCAAGTACTGCTTGGTTCCCTTTGTAGAGCCCACTGTAGGTCAGTGCTTCAGGCCCACGTTTGCTGTGCACTAGCTTAATCATTGCCACTTTGTCACTTAGCCACAGTGGGCTGGCCAAGGGGCTTTGACCATTTACCTGTCACCTCTGAAGAGCCCCCAGCTTACTGGGGCTCCAGACCCCATTCTATGCAGAGCATCTTCTCATCTAGTCCCTTAGACCCAGCTATATGGAACTCCCCTGGCCTGCAAGGGTTCCCTTGGCCCCATCAGGATCCTTGGCTAGGTCCAAAGTGATATGACCTTCCTCGCTGTCCAGATGGCAGTAGCTTGTGAGATCCACTCTCGGGAATGGATGCCTGCATTCAGCCAAATGGCTGGCCGCTGCTTGTCTCCTCCCGTGCTGAACTGCAGAAGAGAAGAGGCCAGAAAATGACCTGCCTGCCTGAGTTTCCACTCACCTCTCCTCTCCCCAGCTCGATCCTATTCATTTAACTCATTTAAGATAATTCCGAGACCAAATGTTCCTGAGGGCCCCATCTATTTATCAGGCTTAGTCGTGACCAGCAAGCGTAATTGGTTGGCTGCAGCTCCAGGCAGCCTGAACCTCTCCAGCACTGGGAGCAAATTGGGAAGGAAAACCAATTGTTATTGTGGATTAGAATGCTGGTGCCATTAGAGATAATAGTATGTCTCTGAAAGGCTTCAAATAGTATCCCAACAGAGAGAGACACAAGGGTGTGTACAGCAGGCTGTTGGGTTGATGCAATAAATGAATTCAGTTTTAAATTAGGAAGAAGAGGGCTTCACTGTAGCTCTTTGTAAATGGCATTAATGAATTCTGCCTCCTGTTTTTGCCACAGTGTTTGGACCCCTTAGGTCAGAGCTTGGTACTAATGAAGCCAGGGTCCCCATCAGATGGGCAAATAATCTAAATGTAATTATTTTAAAGCAACCAGCTCAGTGGCAGGTCTCCCCTACCAGTGGTTCACTATAAGTCTGGGGTCTTGAAGGACTTATAGGGAGTTGAGGGTTTGGCAAATCCTTGAGCCATCAATAAATGTTCTATGGTATAGGCTCCGATTCCTTTTGCTTTGGTCAGCTGGGTTGTTTATATCATTTATGTCACTGTCATTATTTTCTATCTCCTTTGCCAATACAAACCTGTATCTGTTAGAAATATCTGAAAATTTGGATCAGAGGCTGGGTGTAATATTCTAACAACCCTAAAATTAACTTCCTAAATAACTTTTTTTTTTTTGGTCATTTGTGGGGCTTGAACTCTGGGCCTGAGCGGTGTTCCTCAGCTCTTCAGCTCAAGGCAAGCCCTCTACCACTTGAGCTACAGCACCACTTCCAGTTTTCCGGTGGTTAATTGGAGATAAGAGTCTCATAGACTTTCCTGCCCTGGCTGGCTTTGAATTGTGATCCTTAGATCTCAGCCTCCTGAGTAGCTAGGATTACAGGTGTGAGCCACCAGCCCCTGGCTTCCTAAGTAACTTTTAAAAGTAAGTAGAATAAAGTTCATAAGTCTATTCCACCTTTCCTTGCTTGGGAATGAAGGCAAGACTGGCTAGAACATTCTGGAATACTAGCCATCTTCCCTCTAATCCTGTCCTTCAGCCAAAAACGTGGAATAAGATGTGCTCCTTCTAACTGTCTCTCATTAAACAATGAACCTCTGCCAGGTCCAGATCTAGTGCGGAGAAGATGATCACTATTTCCTTCAGTGGTAAAACAGCTTGGAATGTAGGCTTTTGGCTACATTCAGTTAGGACCTTGCAAGGGCCTGGGACCTCACCTTCAGGACATACATCGGTCTCTTTTCAAATGTCTGTCCAATCTTCACTCTTCTTGCCAGGTCTGGAAAATCTGTAGCAATGCTGTCCATCTCATGGTAAATCTGAAGGAGAAAATAGTAAATCTAAGGACAAATTTTTAACAGTTTTTTTTTTTAGATAAGGACTCATTACATATTTGGCCTCAACCTTAGATCCTTCTGCCTCAGCTTCTCAAGACCTGGGATTTTGGGTCACTGTGCCTGGTTTAAGAAGGCCTTTTTAAAATTTGTTCAGCTCTGGATAGGTATGTGTGAACTTTATCATGTCAGTCTTAAACTATGTCTTCTGGTTGACCATATTATCAGCATGGAATGCGTATTTCAAAGAAAGTGTCTAAAGAGTCCTTTTGTGCGATTTTCTAAAGAATAATACCTTGCATTTGTCCACAAACTTATAGTACACTCAACTATACAGATATTGCTACAAATTACATAGCTATTGCTATAAAGTGTGGTCGTTTATTCATCCTGGGTTGGACCAACAGAACAATCCCACTAAGCAAGTTCTCTGTGGGCAAAAATAAAGTTTGTGCCATGTATCTAATACCACACACATATATTAAATACACTGTAAAAATTTTAAAAATAGTTGCATTCATAAATGTTGTTAATAATGTCTCTATCTCTGTGGGCCATCTTGCTTAAGATCTCCTCAATTATAGACACCCCACTTTCAAGTGATAAAGACTTGAAAATTGTAGCTAAGAATGCTAAGAATATATCCAATTGCTTTGTGGGGGCGGAAAGAAAAGAAAATTTGATTTAAATAGTTTATCCATTTTCATTTTTCAAGCCATTTGGAGGTCAAAAGAAGGAAATGAATTTGTGTAGTAGTTAAGATTGGATGAAAGAGCTAAACACAGAAGGAAAAGGTGCAATCAATACAGAATAAAATCAAGCTTAAAGGGTTTATGGACTGGCAGTCAATATAACATACTGAGCAGAAGTGAACAAGTAAGCAAAAATCAACAACAAAAACCCAAATACATAGGCAACCAAATAAAGTACAGAAGAAGTGACTCATAATGAGCTTCAAAGCTCAAAAAGGGGAAACCATAGATGGAAAAAAATGAAGAGGAAACTACCATATTAGAGAACTGGAAGTTGAACTAGAAATGGGCAAATTTGGCTTCCAACACAGCTTGGAAACTTTATCCCAACACTGACCCCTAGAGAGATGAGGAAAAGCAAAGTAGCTCTCTGGGGCCATAAAAGGAAAGAGAATCACCCAGGAAAAGTTAAAATTCCAATGTTATATCCAGATATAAGATTCAAAAATCACACTATCAACTACCTCCAGGACACAAACAAAGGATGTGGAACCAAAACTCTGGCAGAGACAATCATGAAATTCCCACTAGAGACCTAAGCAAGCTTAAACAGTTATAAGCTATAAGCTGTTCATAGCTGTTTTTAGAAAGAACCCAAAATGAGCAAAAGAGGAGGCAGCTGGCTCAGAGATACACAGCAAAAGTCCTTGAAGGAGCAGGAGATAGTTGGGAGCCAGGCATCAAAGCCTGGCTCAGATAGCCAGGAGATACCCTCCCCACCCCCCACACCCATAATCCTCAAAGGACATTCGCAACTGGTGAACTCAGCTGGGGAGAGTCCCATGGCCATGAGGCTGTCATGGGTTTGATGGCTGTGTGAGCCTTGAGTTCTGCTTTCCTCAATGACCCAGACCACCGAACTCTTAACTTCATCCATCTGTTTGGCAGATGTATGCTACTGGTCACAAAGAAGGGTCAATGGGCAGTGTTATTGATTTATACACAACAAACAAAGCCACGAATAATCATGGGAAAGAAGTGAAAATAGTCATTTCAGTGATTGAAATAATCAACCACTCATCCTGAAAAGCAACTTAAAATATACATCTCACAAAAAGTATTCCAGAGCCGGGCGCTGGTGGCTCACGCCTGTAATCCTAGCTACTCGGGAGGCTGAGATCTGAGGATCGAGGTTCAAAGCCAGACCAGGCAGGAAAGTCCGTGAGACTCTTCTCTCCAATAAAAACCACTACAAAACTGAAAGTGGCGCTGTGGCTCAAGCGGTAGAGCGCTCGCCTTGAGCTGAAGAGCGCAGGGACAGCGCCCAAGCCCAGAGTTCAAGCCCCACAACCGACCAAAAAAAAAAAAAAAAGTATTCCAGGAACATTGTTTATGTATGAAGAACATTCATTAAGGCAGGTGAAGGGAGAATAAGTTGTGTGTGTGTGTGTGTGTGTATGCACTAATATAAGGGCTTGAACTTAAAGCCTGGGTGGGTGCTGTCCCTAATTTTTGGTCTGGTTATTGGAGATAAGTTTTTCACAGACTTTCCTGCCTGGGCTGGCTTTGAACTGCAATTCTCAGATTTCAGCCTCCGGAGTAGCTAGGATTACAAGCATGAGCCACCGAAACCCAGTTGAGGATATAAATTTTGATTTGAGAATGAGTTCCTGAGCTACTAAAACAATCAGGCTAATGAAGCAGACACTGGGGGGGGGGGGAGGGGCTGGGGGAAAGGACATAAGAAAATGGTGTGGGCTTCATGGTGCAGTCCCATACTTACTGTCTCTTTTGATTTTTCAAGTCCCTTTTGATTTCTCCCTTTTGTATGAAATTACTCTGCTCCAAGCTTTTCATTTTGAAAATCTGGCTTACCTTGAAAGTCATCTATATAAAGTGGTTTCTAACTAAGCACAGTACCAAAATGCATTATGTAACTAATATTATACATTATAAGTTGTCCTGATAAATGAATGGAAATATTTGGTTAACCTTGGAAATAACTACTTGTCGACTTGCCCGGAATAAATAACATTTTATTCCAGGCAAAAGATTATAGTGGGGGTGGGGGGAGAGGGTTGAATTACAAAGACTGAAAACGATTGCAATTATTTCACCGCTTTCCTTAAGAGATTGTTTGTGGAAAGGAGACTGGATGTGGGGGGAAATGTCCTGTTCACATTTCACTACGCTCTTAGGTGTTGGTGGAGTTAAACAGCCTGAGAATTGGAAAGGAATGAAAGTGCACATGTGTTAGCCCCTCAATAAAAAGATAATGTACTGAAGCTGGAAGGAAGGAGAGAGGTTACAAAATTCAGGAAGCACTCACAGCATCGAGAGAGTGATAAGCTCCATAGTTGAAGTTACTACCACTCCGTTCTTGCCCTTCATTGTGTCGCATTTCTTCATCTTCATTATCTAAAAGGGCCTAAACAGAGACACAACATGTTGTTGAATTGATCCAGTAAAGACGGAAAATCTGGCTTTTTTCTTGCTCTGGCTTGATATAGGGGCCAGCTAAGATGGCAGCCCAACTGTCAAGACTTAAAGAGGGCCAATTATACAAACAAAAGATTATAGTAGGAGGAAATGCAAGTTCATAGTGTCTGCTTCTCAAAGAGCTTTAGATTTTTCACAACAACATACATTATAATCTCACTGTTTTATGGGGGTTTGAATCAATTCTATGGGATAGAACAACAAAATATCTGTTTTTATTTTTTCTAAGATGACTACTTTCTAATATTGTCAGTTCTACTGAAGCATTCCAATATATACTGTAATTCTAATACTCAGGAGAAAAGTCGTTATCGTCTGTGTTCTGACCTTCATGATCAGTATGGTACAGTTTAAAAACTAAAATATCTGGCTAGGTACCAAGTCAGCTCAAAGTCCAGCAGGAAAGTCCATGAGACTCTTATCTCCAATTAACCACCAAAACCTAGAAGTGGAGTTATGGCTCAATTGGTAAAGTGCTAGCCTTCAGTAAAAAAGCTAAAGGACAGTGTCCAGACCCAAAATTGAGGCCCCAGTACTGGCACAAAAATTTATATACACATATATATAATATATATGTGTGTATACATATTATATATATATATATATTATACTGCTCTTAAAAATAGAGGTCATATTTCTTTCATGCAGCCATAAAACTTTCCTTCTTGGTGTCCAATTTATATTCTACCATTCAAAACCTGCTTACTCTCTGTAAAGAACATATGTGCTATTTGGTTATTCTATACTATGAAATCTCTAGCCATCAGCCTGCATCTGGTACCCAGTGCCTCTGAAAAACGCAGCTTGGGAAACCATTCAGAAACAAAGAAATTCTTATAACCACTCATACTTTGAAGGTTCCTGGCAGATGTCTGTGACATGTGAGGATGATTAGTAAGCCCGCAGCTGCTCACGCCATCAGGAAACTCATGGGCCAAATCACCAATTAGTCCATAACCTAGCTCGGTGAAGGAGACAACGTGAGCCAGACACTATCCTGCTGTTCAACACGTGCCCTGGGCTGGGTGGTGGCATTCCCTCTACTGGGCACAGTGGGTGACAGTCTCCCTTTCACGAAGGGCACTTCTTTTTACTGGTCCCCAGTACCATCCCACCCACAACTCTTGCCTCCTAACATCAAACACAAAAGGAAGAGGCACATTTATGTTGTACCAGATACTGTGGAGCATTTTATATACATTGATTATAGAATCTTCTCAATACAGTATATGAAATGAGTATGACTGGTATCTTATTGGTCTTATTGGTATTTTATTGATGAGGAAATGGAGGCCCAAGAGAGTGAAACTTGTCCAAAGAAACTGTGGGATTTGAATCCAGACACTGTCACATGCATTATCCTTATCTACTGTGACCTACTGTTTCTCTAACAAGTTACTGTTCTTTCATCTGCCTGAAATTTCTACATCTAGCAAATGAAAAAAGGCGACAGTAGACTTAAAAAATCTCTCAGGTCTTCTCCTGACTGCTGGTGGCTTAGTCCTACACAAGATCAGTCTGAAACCGTGGCCTACTTACCTGCAGGTCTTCAATTGTCACTGAGTACTCCAAGCCCTGGGACTTCAGGAAGGATTTGACTGGCAGCAGACTGACAGACGGAACCAGGACATCCACAGGCCGACCAAAAGTGGAAGGAGATTTCCAGACATTGAGCTGAAAGGAATAGAAATCAAACCAGGCTAAAGGATAGTTCAGGTAAAACACACAATCAGCTCATTCTTGTACAATCACTACCAAAAGCCAAGCTGATCCCTGGGGGGCTGAGATCTGTTCAAGGGTAAACAGGGGCCATTTCACAATTGTATCTAGTCAGATCTACCCCTCAGGCAGTGCCTGGCAGAATCTAAGAAGTAAATCCAGAGCAGCTAGAAGGATAGAGGTCGGGTCTTCGTCTCCCTGGGCCATCCACTGTGATCTACTTCCCAGCTCCTCCTCCCGCAATCTTCTCAATGGCACAAAAATCTTCAAGAACAGAAGTAATAACTCCAGTAGTAGAAGAATCTTCTCCCAACAAAGTCAAGAAGTCTGAAAAGAACCATGTACCTTGAAGTCATCCGAATTCACTAGCTGAATCAGTTTGCTGATCTCCTCTCCATTTCTGACATTAATCCTAAACACTTGGTCCCTGAAGAAGGGATGGGAGAGAGGAGGGAAAAAAAGCAAAAGATAATGGTGAGCTTTCAGCTGGCAAATAAACCCCAAACCCACAATCCCAGACAGAAGTAGGCCGAATGAGAGGAAATGGTCTAGTCTTTGGTTATAATGTATAGCCATTAAAAATAAGACTACGTGGCAAATGTGAAAAAGTGCTTATGGTATAACTTGAAGGGAAATAATATTAAGTGAAAGAACAGGACACAGAATTGTATGTGTGCCATGATTACAAGTATGGAAAAAGCAGATGCTCTAGAAGGAAAACAGACAACAGAAATATACCAAATGCTGACAGCGCTCAAGTTCGGGTCATGAGATTATGGATGACTTACTTTTTTTTCTCCTTGTATCTGTTTTCTGTAATGTGGTCATATTACTTTATAATGAAAAACACATATACATTTTACAGAAAGGAATGTTCTTGGGTTACATGCAAAGCTCACTGAAGATGTAAAGGAATACTTCTTCACTGTCGGGGGTTGAGGGCTAAAACCTCTGGGCTGAGAAGAGCTAGGAAATCAAGCAGACCCTCCATCCTGGGAAGGTGGGCTGCTACCTTCTTCCAGAAAAGAGAAGCAGGGAGCTTGTAGCCTCCTCTCCCAACCCCAGAGCCCAGGATACGTGTGCATTCTGAGATGAATGCTGAATGCAGCCCAGGGTGTAAGACTGAACTCTGGGTCCACTGATGCTTACCAGGTCCTGCAAGGCCCCAGAAGGGCCCCCCCCATAGCCCAATCCCTTTCTGGTTTGTCTTGCATTTCTTTCATATACATTATTTAGCTTCTGCAGCATTGGCAGGGGAAAGAGGCCCTGACATCCTGTGTGGTGAGTGGGAGAAGGCTGGACATGAAAAGCTGCCTTTGAACTCTCAGCCCGCTCAGGGAGCCAGGGGAGCCATTAAGTGGTTGCTAGGTGACAGGCCCAAATGAATCTATACTAGATGCTGTCACATGCGTCATCTCTTTGACGCGCGTGAATGCAGGAAGGGCTGCTGGGGAGAGCTGTGGGCTGAAGGACCTGTTGACAAGAATAAATGATGCTGTCACAGGGAACTAAATGTGCAGCCTCATGTGGCAGCTCTTTATCAGAAAAACTGGTCCAGGCCAGATGGACCCTCAGGGTTTTCCTTGGTTCTAGAAGGTCCTGGGGGGGAGGGGTTCCAGAGATCTAGGCCAGCACAAAGTATTACGGCCCAAGGCAGAGCAGCTCCCAGTGCAGGTGGCTGGTCTGGAGGAGATGCCCGTGTGAAAGCTCACTTTCTCCCTCCCCAGCTGGTCCCGGCAGGGTCCTAGAAGGAAACAGCACCACAGGTTGCCTGGTGGGGGAGCTCTGGTGGGGCAGTACTTGGCTGAACCTACTACATGATGAATATGGTTCAAGTTGTACCTCAAGGGTTCATTGCTGCAAGCTTGGTCTCTAGTATGGCAACCTTGGGAAGTAGTAGGTGCTTTATTTTATTTTATTTTATTTGTGAACATACTGTACAGAGGGGTTACAATTACATGGGCAGGATAATGTGTACATTTCTTACCAAGCATTGCAGCCTCCTCCTTTGGTTTGCCCTTCACATCCCTTCCCAGCCTTCCCCCTCCCCCCCAATCCCAACCCTTCTCCGCTCCCCCCTTCCCCCCCCCAGTAGTAGGTGCTTTAAGAGACAGGTCCTGTTAGGCCCTAGAAAGTGATTAATGCTGATATCTTGGAGTTCATTTTTGTGTAAGTGGTACAAGCCCGGAATCTCTCTCTAGCTTCCTGTATTGCTACGTGATCTCTGCTTCTCACACATGCCCACATCAGGATACCATCTGCCATGTTTTGGCGCAGACTGGGGCTCCTTACCAAACAGATAGAGTCCCCAGTCCTGAACTTGTAGTCTGCAAATCTGTGAGTGAAATAAATTTCTTTACACGTTACTCAGCTCCATGTATTTTGTTATAGCAACAGAAAACAGACTACAGAACACATCAGGCTCACAAAGAGTTGTACTACAGCTCTGAGAAGATGAAGAGTTCAAGGCAAACAGCCTCAAAAAGTAGAGAGAAGGGCATTAAAATGGGACCTCCTGTCTGAGGACTAAGACCAGTCTGCTAAACTCACACTCTATCACAGCCTACTCCCAACACTCCAGAAGAGAAGCAGACAACTCAGAAATGGGCATTTTAGAAAGTGTACACATTGACAACTCTAGTGGCAAAATTAGGCATTTGTAAAGCAACACTGCCTAGAGCAATCACAAAAGAGGGGAGAGAGAAGAAACAGGAAAGGGGGAAAAGGAGGGATATGGAAAAAAGAAGGTTTGGGGGAATATGAAAATCCTGGCATATGTTCACCCATAAACAAAGAGGGTGCATTTTACTTTGTCCACAGTGGTGACTTTGCAACAGAACTCCCCTACCCAGGCCCAGTCCACAGCAATGGAACACAGTGATTTCAACTAGTCCTGATGATGACTAAGTCCACACCCCATTTCAATCAGGATCTAATCATCCAAGCTGCAGAGGTTAAAGAAACAAATGTGGGTAGTACTAAGAAGATACCAACTAGGCAGGGCAGACTAGCTGGCCCAGATGAAGCCCCTGCCCCATCCTCCACCTCTCCATGTTCTTCACTTCCAACCCCCCACTAAAAATCCCAAATTCACCATGTACTTTGGCCTTTGAAAAAGAGATTACTGCCTGCAGTCTTGGCTATTTTCCTTAACTGACTGGCAATCTCCTACTTGGTCTCCAGGACAAGCTCATATCATCCATGAAGCTTTCCCTAACCAAAATTTCCCTAACCAAAAGTACAGTTTTCAAAGAGTACTAAACAGCAACAGTGATGGTAGGGTCTAACATTGTTTTCATGACCATCAGTACATGGACACCTAAAAGCAGAGTGGGAAGGGCAGTCATTCTCATTGTCCTCGTTGTCATGGTCTCTATTTGGAAAATGCCCTCTCCAGGTCATGAGCATGTAGATGGTTGCCTACATCCTGGAAATTCTAAGACTTTGAACTTGAGCTCTTCCAAAAGAAGGGAGTTGGACCAGGAGGGGGAACCTGTTGAGATGAACAAGTTGCTAAGTCTAACTTTCCTGTTCTACATGAGTCTTCCGATAGCTCCTCTGGCTGTCTTCAAACCCACTTGGCTGTTGGCAGTGACGGTTGTGGACGCCTTCTCGCTCACCTCATATTCACCCATGATTCAGACAATCTTGGGGACAGAGCTCCCATCCCTTCCCCTGTTATCATGTAAGTAGAGCTTCTCTTACCTTCACCCCCAGCCACGCTCAGCAACCACCATGAATAATATTAAGAGATGGTTTCACAGAATTCTTAGATGCTTGCCAATTACCACAGAGACTACAACCAGTTCTGCAGCTACTCCCTGTTTTCTGCCTGCCTGACACCTCCAGATGTCCTGGCCATTGTCTCATCCTTAAAATGACTAATAACTAGGACAAAAGACACTAGCAGAGCACCAGAGAGCAAGAAGTTAGGAGAATCAAGAAGAAGGGAAGCAAATTGAATGGTAAAAAGCAACCATCATCTTCTCCACCACCCAAGTTCCTGCCTGGTCTCCAAACCACTCAGATGCTCAGATGTCAAGTTCTCTGTGCTAGACATATTTGTTGAACTGGATGACCAGAGCATGTTAATGGGAACTCTGGCAGAAAAGATTGCCCTACCTTTGCTGGGATCCCTACTATGGAGCAAGAACAGACCGGGAGGAGGGGAAGAGAATGACTCAATTGGTTAAAACCAACCACAATTAGCAATCAGCTCAGGCACACAGCCCTTCCTGCGTTCAACTCCTGCAGTGAGCCCTCTGGGGCCCTGCCCAGCTGTCTCAGCCCAGGTGCATCATCAGAGAGCTCTGTACCCTGAGCAATAGAGATTTTTCAACCACGTGAATTGCTTCAGTGGGAGCCTGACAGAGCTATGCGTCAGCTCACACAGCAAGCAAGTGTAGTTAGGGCACACCTTCTGCTGAGCTGCTAGTGGAAAAAAAAATCTCCTTCCCTGGCCACCTGCTACACATAACCCCTCTGAGCTATTTGGCAACAGACATACAGGTATGAACAGTCATCATTATAAAAATTAGTCATATAAATAATATCATATAAATAATTGCTTCAATAAACAGCTCCTAAGTTCCCTCAATCAGGTAGTATAATAGAGTTAGATAGACCATTGAGATAGATGATTCTATTTGGAGAATAACTTGTGTTATAGAAAAAATAAGGCCTGGCTTTTGTATTCCATTCCAGCTCCCCTGTGTACCAGCTAAGTAGCCTTGGGCAGGTTCTTTAACCTTTCTAAAGTTGTGTTTTTTCATGTTTAAATTGAGGAAAATAACACCCGTGCCTGGCAGAGTGGTTACATGATCCAAAAGATAATGTACATGAAAGCTCTTTGCAAATAGCAATGCATTATGAAGTAATGAGTTATTATAATGCAATCTTCTAGCAAGGCACCAAGCATCTCTTTCATCTCTCCTATCTTCCAAATTTCCCTCCTGTGCAAACCTCAGAGCTTCTATGTGAAGCCTGTTAAACATGAGTGTGCAACACATACACAGAGTACAGGTGTGTGGCCCTGCCTATCAGTACCCATAGCTGTGCCTAGACAAGACCTGTTAGATCTCCTTGTCCTAGAAGTCAAGCAAAAGCACCAGCTCTACACAGCTTTTACCATTAATAAAGAGGGGAAACATGAAACCTACATTTTTCTCTTCTTTTTTTTTTTTTTTTTTGGTCAGTCATGGAGCTCGAACTCTGGGCCTGGATGCTGTCCCTGAGCTCTTCCGCTCAAGGCAAGCACTCTACCACTTGAGACACAGTGCTGTTTCTGGCTTTCTGGTAGTTAATTGGAGATAAGAGTCTCACAGACTTTCCTGCCTGGGCTGGCTATGAACCGCAATCCTAAAATCTCAGCCTCCTGAGTAGTTAAGATTACAAGTGTAAGCCATCAGCTCCCAGCTACATTTTTCTCTTTCATCATGGCAGAAATTCCCAACAAGCCATTTCTGGTCATGATTTAGAATTAATGATGTAGGTTTATGAAAGTTGGAGGTTCTTGAACTGACTTTACAAATAAGAAATAGGAAGAAAAAGAATTCACAGATTAGGAAGCTGGAGAAGGTCTATGGAGACTATTTGCTCTAATTTCACAGACAAAATCAGGTCTCACACAGCAGTCATTTATCCAGGGGGACACAGGGACAAAGGTGAGACAGGTCCTCTTTCCTCAAGACTCATCTAAGACATAACACCCTTTCCTTCTCAATTCTTGGACTGGTGGTGTGGCTCATATGGTAGCATGCCAGCAGTAATCAAACAAGCCAAGCAAGAGCTTAAGGACCTGAGTTCAAAACTACTAGCAAAAAGAAAAAGAATCCAGATCATCCTTTTCAATCCCAATTGGTTCCTATTTTGCTGAAATATTAAGTACAAAAAAAACTTACCCAAAAAATTTTTCTCGGCTGCAGATGCCTGGCCCAATAAGGGCCCCAAAGAACACTATCCACCACATGTCTGAAGACGAGTATTGGTCACAGTGACTGAGTCAGGTTGTATTTATAAGGAGCCCAGGGCAGGCTCATGTCCTCAGAAATGCTAATATGACTCCCAAGCACCCTTGCAACTCTGCTGGGCGGAGCCCTTACCAATGCCTCTTCCATTCCTTTCCAGTGATAAAGGCCAGCCTCTCCATTTACGTGGTCAAGAATTCACTCCCAGGCTGGAAAAGTCCTCACCATTAGTACCATATTTTTTACCAGGTGATATCTAACTAGTGATTTAAAAAAAATTAATGAAGGCTGGGAAGGTGGCTGAGTGATAGCTTGCCTTGCTTGCATGAGTCCCTGGGTTCGATTCCTTAGCACCACATAAGCAAAAAAAGCCGGAAGTGGCACTGTAGCTTAAGTGGTAGAGCGCTAGCCTTGAGCTGAAGAGCTGAGGGACAGTGCCTAGGCCCAGAGTTCAGGCGATATAACCGACAAAAATTTAATGAAAAGGTCTCAAGCTGGGCATGGTGGCTCACGCCTGTAATCCTAACTACTCAGGAGGCTGACATCTGAGGATTGAGGTTCCAAACCAGACTGGGAAGGAAAGTTCATGAGATTCTCGTCTTCAATTAACCACCAAAAAGCCAAAAGTGGTAGATCATCAGCCTGGAGTAAAAAAAATAAAATAAAAACAAAAACAAAACTAAGGAATAGCACCCAGGCCTTGAGTTCAAACCCTAGTGCCAGCACCAAAAAATAAATATCTCATCATGGTGGATGAAATTTATACTGATAGGAAAGGCCATCATTTAACCCTGAGTTGGAATTACCTCTAGAGCAATACCAAAGTGAAGACAAGCAACCCCAAGACAACTTAGAGATCACATGCTTTCCAGGCCCAGCCAGAACATTTCACCAGGGCAATTCATAATGAAGACTGTTTGTGGCCTCTTTTATGGATCTGAGGCCTAGTTCTTGAGTCCACTAAGGAAATAAAAATATATGTGGTTAAGCCGGGTGCTGGAAGCTCACACCTGTAATCCTAGCTACTCAGGAGGCTGAGATGAGGATCATGGTTCAAAGCCAGCCCAGGCAGAAAAGTCTATGAGATTCTTATCTCCAATAAACCACCAGAAAACTGGAAGTGGCGCTGTGGCTCAAGTGGTAGAGCACTTGCCTTGAGCTGAAGAGCTGAGGGACAGGGCCCAGGCCCAGAGTTCAAGTCCCATGACCAACAACAACAACAACAAAAAGAATGTGTTATTCTGAATAAATTATCAGTTGTCTTTGGGGGTCTGAATGGCAGGTAAGCCTCAATGGAACTATTAATAAGTTTTTTGTTTTGTTTAGGTTTTGGGTATTTTTGCTTTTTTTTTTTTTTGTCGGTTGAACTCTGGGCCTGGGTGCTGTCCCTCAGCTCTTTAGCTCAAGGCTAGCGCTTTACCACTTAAGCCACAGTGCCACTTCTGGCTTTTTCTGTTTATGTGGTGCTGAGGAATGAAACCCAGGGCCTCATGCATGCAAGACAAGCACTCTACCACTCAGCCACCTTCCCAGCCCCCTTAATAAGGTTTTTGCTAGTCTCTATGTCTTATATTATGCCAACTGTAAAAAAAAAAAAGAAGATATTCGTAATTTCTATGGCTTTTTAGGCTCTAATGCTTTTGGATCTGTCCCAGGAGCCTTAGTTCCCACAAGCTTTCCCCATCCCTCTGTCCCCATTAGAGATGGCTTATGATTCTTACTGTACCTGCACACAGAGAGTAGGTATAGCCCAGGGTCATGGTTGGAAGCATTAAGGGAAAGACATTCAAGACTACTGCAGCTGGGATCAAAGCTGTCATCCTAGCTAGCTGGAGGCAGAGATTGGAAGGATAGAGGTTCAAGACCATCCTGGGCATAAAAGTTTGTGAGATGCTATCTCAACCAATAGTTGGGCAAGGTGACTCATGACTCACGCCTGTTATTCCAGCTGTAGGGGAAGCACAATGACCTGGCAAAATGATGTATTCCTGTCATCCCCGGTGATAAGGGGAGGAGTAGAGCCCAGGCCTGCCCTGGCATAAAAAGACCTTAAAAATAACCAAGATTTCACAAATAACCAAGGCAAAAAAGACCTGGAGGCATGGCTCAAGTAGTATAGTGCCTGCCTAGCAGGCAAGAGGACCTACATGCAATCTCTAGTCCCACCAGAAAAAGACTACTAGAGGTCAGGGCTACAGCAATATGAGAAGCTCATTGCTCTCAAGTCCCAAAGCAGAAAAGGCAGCAGAGCGAGGGGATCTATGCCTGGAAAATCACTCAAAGGAAACACCAAGACAAGGGGATTCTTAACTAAACTGGCCTAACAGGTAGGCCAAGAAGATAGACATCAACAGGAACTTGGTCAGCTATCCAGGTGGAGGGGATGACTTACTAGGATCTTTGTTTAGAGTGGTTCTGACAGGGCCCATGAAACAGCCTGGTTAAAAAAACAAAAAGAGAGAGTCTCCTTCCAACACTTAAATTGAATTTCTATACCCACTTTGTCTACCACAGAGGCTGGGGCTCTACTTCCGTATAATTTTTGGCTAGAGATGTGAGGCAAAGAAAAGTTAAGTACTCAGAATTTAGACAAGTTGAAATTTACTTCCCACCTTCATTCCCCAGGAAACACTACCGACATGAATAAACCTAAATGGAAATGAATGTCTAAAGAGAAGTTTGTGGCAGTGGAGACTGAGACTTACTGGGACCGACAGACAGAGAGGAGTGTCAAAGTTTGGGCCCTCAATGCTTATAATGTATCATGCTAGACTTGGGTGAGCAGAAGGTGACAAGGAGACCAAAGGATCTAGATGTATATGTACAATGCCTGCCACCTTGTAGTTGCTTCATTAGTATTGAGTAACTGAACTCAAAAGTCCATTGGCTAGCTCTAAAATGCTACACTATTAAGATTAAAGGGCTTAGCTGCATGTGAAGACACAAATCTGTAACCCTGACATTTGGGATGCTAAAGCTGGAGGATCACACATTTGAGGCCATCCTGCATTACACAGGGAGTTTCAGCCACTTGGGCTACATAGAGAGTCCCTATAAAATATAAAACAGTAAAAAAGATGAAGGGCTGACACTGCAACATGTGATGCCTTGAAAACACTATGCTAAACTCAATACAAAAGAATAAACATTATGTGATTCCACTTATTTGAGACAAATTCACAGAGACAAAAGCCAAAGCATGATCAAAAGATTCTGGAAATGAATACTGTAATGGTACAATAACATTGTGAATATAGTGAGTAATGCCACTAAATTGTACCCTGAAAAACAATTAAGCCAGACACCAGTGGCTCACACCTGTAATCCTAGCAACTCAGGAAGCTGAGATCTGAGGACTGTGGTTTAAAGCCAACCCAGACAGAAAAGTCCATGAGACTCTTATCTCCAATTAGTTACCCCCAAAGCCAAAAGTAAAGCTGTAACTCAAATGGTACAGCACTATCCTTTAGCAAGGAAAACTCATAGACAGCACTCAGGCCGAGTTCAAACCCCAGGATCCGCACTAAAAACTAAACAGAACATCAAGAGGCTGAGATCTGAGGATCATGGTGTGGAGTGACCATGGGAAGACAAATCTGAGAGACTCCTATCTCCAATTAAGTAGCAAAAAGCTGGAACTGGAGGTGTGACTCAAGTAGCAGAGCACTAGCTCAGGGGCAGTGCCCAAGCCCTGAGTTCAAGCCCCAGGGCTAACAAACACACACAAACACACACACACACACACACACACACACACACACACGCACATTGAAGAAATGGTATTCTCAGATTCTGATTCAAAAAAAGAACAATCAGCCTAGCACCAGTGGCTCACGCCTGTAATCCTATCTACTCAGGAGGCTGAGATCTGAGGATTGCAGTTCAAATCCAGCCTGTGCAGGAAAGTCTATGAGACTCTTATTTCCAATTAAACCACCAGAAAACCAGAAGTGGCGCTGTGGCTCAAGTGGTAGAGTGCTAGCCTTGAGCTGAATAGCTCAGGGACACAGCTCCAGACCCAAAGTTCAAGCCCCAGGACTGGCAAAAAAAAAAAAAATCACAATCCAGTTTTGCTTTAAACCAAAGAGATTTTTATTGTGGTTGTCTACTCCACAGATTCCTAATAGGGGTGGTCTCGCACATGCTCCATGATGGTCTTCAAGCCAAGCCAGGTCTCTTCTGCAGTGGGCAAGATCTGCTTGGCTGGCAAGAGGAAGCCATAGTAGCCTGTATCTCTCAACTCAAAGGCAAATGAGTATTTGATGCCATAATCATAGGCCCAGTCAATGCTTCCACCACTGGCTTGGTCTGATAGACAAATAAGAATAAAGTCTTATTACACTCTTCCAACTATCCCCTTACATAACTGCTAATCAGACCCCTAGATGCCCAGCCTGCAGGAGCAGACAGTTGAATAGACTCATGCTTGTGGGAAAAAATTACAAGAATAATTTGAAACACAAAAGGTCTTACTCCAATGGACACTGTACTTAGCCTCTCTGTGGTGTTCTCGGGGGCCTTTGACTTTACTTGCCCTTTTGGAATCCAGTCTGCTGCCCTAATTGGCATCTTCTCCAACTTGCAGAGCCCACACCACTTCCTTCTTCAGAAGACACTTTCTTTTCTCTTGTGGGAGAAGATGGGAATAAGAGATGCGGTCCCAGCCCTTAAGGGATTCTCAGTCTAAAGATGAAGCAGGCTCTGCTCTAATGTCAGATCTGATAGCCAGTATCAACTTTGCTGGTGAGTTAAGCCAGTACAATAACGTGCACCTGAGGGATGTGTGGCCACTGATGTGACAGATGATGAAGGAAGATGGCATTAGTCTATGAAGGCTGAAAGCATTCATGACTTGGAAGAGTTGGCAATAGACTGGCCTTGAGGTTCCCTCCCAGGAAGGTCAGGTAGAGGCCAAGAGAAGGATGTGGCTGGGACACTTGAGGGAAGCCATGTTGTGTCTTGAACAGAGGTTTACCAGGAAAGGGAGAACTAGAGGTTAATATGAATTACAGTTGAAGTATCCCTTATTCAAAATGCATGAGACCAGAAATATTTTGGATTGGAGACTTTTTTTTAAAATTTCAGAATAATTTTTAAAATGTAATTAAGATATCTTGGGAAAGTCTAAACACAGAATTCCTTTATGTTTCACATATACTGTATACATCACTGTATATTTTAGATAATTTATTTCTTTTGTGTCATGCTTGTGATTGAATCCAGAGCTTCACATATGCTAGGCAAGCACTGTACCACTGAACTGTCTCTTCAGCCAAGGTACTTGGGGGTGCAGAACAGTACTGGGGCTTAAAGTCAGGACCTCATACTTATTACACAGGTGCTATACCACTTAAGCCACATCTTTAGCTGTACCTGTGTTTTGACTCAGACTTGCCACCTAAGGTCATGTGTGGAATTTTTTCACTTGTCATTGATGCTGAAAGAGTTTTGAATTTGGGTGTGGGGGAGAAGGGAAGAGGGGTTGAGTCTGATCAAGGGATATGGTATGCACATATGGACATGTCAAAATGAACCCCCCTTGTGTAACTATTTGATGCTAATAAAAAATGTGGAGGGAGGGGCTGGGAAGGTGGCTCAGTGGTAGAGCGCTTGCCTTGCATGTATGAGGCCCTGGGTTCAATTCCTCAGCACCACATAAACAAAAAGAAAGAAAAAGCCGGAAGTGGTGCTGTGGCTCAAGTGGTAGAGAGCTAGCCTTGAGCTGAAGAGCTGAGGGACAGCGCCCAGGCCAAGAGTTCAGGCCCCACGACCGGACCTCAAAAAAAAAAAATGTGGAGGGAAAAGTTTTGGATTTGGGAGCATTTTGGATTTTTGATTTTGGATGAGTGATATTCGACCTGTAATGCTGAGAATTCCTATGACTTGCGACTTGGTCTCCCCCACACAGCAGCCATCACAGTGTCTGGTAAATAAAATACTAAACACTTACTTACTAATTGGGTTTCAAATTACTATTTTATAACTTAAATGCTGTTACACCCCATAGCTAGTTCTGCTAAGAGGTGCCCAAAGGGTCAAATACTGGCTTCAGAATGAATCTTTACCCTGCAAATTATTATCTGTTGACTTACCAAATCATTTAGCTTCCTGAGTCCCAAAATGTTTCATTTATCCAATATCCAGTCTTCATTACATAGAACAGTGAGAATTAAATGGGATAATGTAATGGCTAAGATTATAACATTTGTTGAGGGCTCATAAATGTGTTAGGTGCATGGTAAATTGGCTCATTTAATAACTACAATTCAGGTTAGTTACTAGTATAGCTCCCATTTTACAGATGAGGAAACTGAGACTCAGAGCAAATAAGGGAAGGAGTTACAATAAAATATGCAGAACAGGTATTCAATAAGTGTCAGATATAATTATAACATCATTCTCAATTAATGACTAGAATCTGATCAAATAAGACCACATTAAAGTCAGAGCTATCTAGAGAAGAGCAAGTCACTAGGCATTTGACTAGTAGTCCAAGTTTATATAGCGCTCTAGAGTCAGTGAATACTTAATCCTCTTAACAACTCATTTTATAGACAAAAAACACAAGGGAGAATTTGTGTGGCTGGTACAAGGTAACTTGGTTCTAGAGTGGCAGAGCCATAGCTCAAACCCAAGCCTCTTCATCTGTACTTTTTCCCTATGCCTCTTTTTTTGAAAAAGAACTCTAGGGATGACTTCTTTTGAACCAGACACCAATAATAGTGCAGCTCTTCAAGGCCTTTTCTAGGTTGGGAAGATGTTTAGGACATCTCACCTACCACAGACATGCAGCTACCTCTCAAGTAGACCGAAAAGCAGGTAGTCAGTTCATAGCTATATATCAGCCTGGGCTAGGAGGCAAGACGTACTTAACTGGGACTAGTCCTTAGAGGCAGTGTTTGTCAGTACTAGAGTGTGGTTAAATTATACAGTCTAGAAGAGATGAACCCGGAATTGGCATTAATAAATGGTCAGCTTCCAAAAGATCACATAGCACATCTCTATTTGTCTGATAGTTGCTTATTATTGTGTGTATGTGTGCACTAGTACCAGGGCTTGAACTCAGGGCCTCACACTCTTGGTTAGCTTTTTCATTCAAAGCTGACATTCGACCACCTGAGCCCTGCCTCTACTTCCATAGTTGCTTTTTAGAAATGTCTTTGATACCTATCCCCTCACCAAGAAAAATATACTAGCCTCAATCTTCGAAGGTCTACCTTATTCGTAAATACTTGCAGATATAGTGAGTGAGAAACTAGACTCATACAGGCAGAAAAGGTCAGATAAGGTGATGTTAGGGAAATGAACCCTAAAATCTGTATTCAAATGTTTTTTTTCTTTCATGCTATTGTTTCTAACGCACTTATAAGATTATTTCTTTGTTGCTTTGTATGTCCCTCCCCCACAGTATAACCCCTGCTTTCACTGTATTTGATGTCGGTATAATTTGTGGA